CATAAACATAGAGTTGAGTTTTGAAAAATAAACCAAACACTATCTACATTTTTGACAAATGACATGATACCCGATTATAATAATTTTAAAATGGGTAAAATACGCTGACACCCCTTTGTCAGTGTAATTACTTGACAGTGTTAACTTTTAAGTTAAAATGATATATTTATCCTTAACCTTTACATATAACTTTAAAGGGTAAATTACATTGACACCCCTGAGATTTCAATTTAATACGGATTCCCCCTGACATTTAAAAAAAAAACTAATTTAATAAAAATAAATATGAAGAAATATATTTAATTTGTAAAAAATTATTTCTAATCACTCGAAAGATAAAAATCATATAAAAATGATAATTATTTTTTATTTTTTATTTCTTAACCAAAATTAATTTTTAATTTTTAAAAAATTTTTCTAAAAATCAAACCATACATAACCTAAGAATCTTTTGATAACTTATTTCTTATGTTGGTAACTTATTTAATTATTTGTTAATTTTACGACATTTTTACCATCTGAAACCTGTTTAGTAATCATTTCGTTTTTAGTTTTAAATTTATATTTACAAAAATTTTAAAAACTGTCATAAAAACTTGTTTGATAATTTTTTTTGGAGTTTATAAATAGTTGTCTCAGTTTGTAAATTTGAGGAAAAACGTAAATTCAAAAAGTAAATTCAAAAAATAAGTTTACGTTGGTTTTTAAATAGAAATTTAAAAATTTTACTAGCAAAAATTTTTTTCAATTAATTTTTTTTTCAATTAATTTTTTTCAAATAATTTTTTTTCAACTAATACTAATCGAGGGGGCAATTGGTAATGCTACTTTAAACCTTGGGGAGGGGATTGTAATTTCTAAAATGTGAGGGGTGTCAATGTAATTTACCCAATGAGGGCAAAATTAGTATTTAAAAAAATTAAATTGTTGACATCAGCAATATCTATTAACTGAGAGAATAATCTGTAATGAAACTTTAAATCTCAAGGAGAATGATGTAATTTTTAAAATGTGAGGAGGGAACTATAATAAATATAAATCTCAGAGGGTGTCAATATAATTTACCATTTTAATATTTAAAAAAAGTCACTAAAAAAAATAATTGCTAAATACATTTAAGAGATTAAAAAAAAAAAAAAAAAAAAAAAAAAAAAAAAAAAAACTAAAGATTCATAAAAGCTATTAAAAAACAACTTTATCCACTTGAGGCCTTAATCTCAAGTTGGACCACCAAATACTAGAGAGCCTACGGGTGGATTTGGGAAGAGTGTTGTTTGAATGATTTGGAATCATTTCACATTTTATATATATATATATATATATATATATATTTTTAAAAAAAATCAAAAACAAAAACTAAAAAATTAATTTTTAACCATCTTTCTAAATCCACCCTATCAATCATTTTCCTCACAACAATAATGGTGCAAATAAATACTTTTTTTTTTTTTTTAACAACGTAAACAAAGCATTTCTATCTAAACCTTTAAAATATGATAATAATAAAAAATTGCTAAATATGTAAGAAAAAACAAAAAAGACAACTAAAAAAAACCCAAAAAGCTATCAAAAAACAACTTTACCGACATGAGGCCTTAATCTCTAGTTGGACCACCAAACACTAGAGAGCCTATCTATCATTTTCCTCACAACAATAATGGTGCAAATAAACACTTTCTTGTTTTTTTTTTTCTTTGAACGACGCAAACAAAGCATTTTTATCTAAATCTTCAAAATTTGATGAAAAAAAATATTTGCTAAATATATTTAAGAAAAAAAAAAAGGTAAAAAAAAGTAAAAAAGCTCCTAGAAAACAACTTTACCCACCTGAGGCCTTAACCTCTAGTTGGACCACCAAATACTAGAGAGCCTATCTATCATTTTACTCACAACAATAATGGTGCAAATAAACTCTTTCTTTTCTTTATTTGAACGGTGCAAACAAAGCATTTTTATCAAAAAATTCAAAATTTAATATGTCATTTGTTTTTGTTTTTTTTTTTTTTTGAAGACTTAGGTTTCAAATTGACATATATCAATTCAAAATGGAAGCTCTCCATCTAATATTTCAAATCTATTTTTTTTTTATTTTTTAAATTTGAATTCTTTTGTTTCACATGTAATCTCTTTTATTTTATTTTTTAAAAAAAAGACATGAAATAAGAACATGTCAAAATTGGCATGAAGGGATGATATCAAATGTCACTTCAACTTTTGACACACACTATAAAAAATGAGTATGGATCCTCGGCCACACAAGCCTGCGGCCCTCCTTGTCGCACTCCCCAAAACGACGTCGTTTCATTTAGTTGTTGTTGTTGTTGTTGTTGTTTTTTTTTTTTTTTTTTTTTTTTTTTTTTTCCTCCCAAAATTTGAGTTTCCCGCTTCATCCTCTCTCCTCTGTTTAGCCCTAACGACGTAGCTGGATAGAGAGAGAGAGAGAGAGAGAGAAGAGAGGCAACTGGAGAACGGAGAGACGATCGGCGCCATCCGTGAAAGCGGAGAGAGATGGTGGAGGGAAGCAACGGTGATGGAGAGAGGTTGGCGGAGGGACGCCAGTCCGGTTGTGACGCAATGGTGGGAAGGCGACATTGCAGCCATGACGAGGTCTATTTCAGTCTCTGTGTCATTTCTCTATATTTGCATTTTTTTTGGATTTAGTGTTATGTATATATCTATTTCCAGCCATGTTCGAATCCTGAAACAAGGCTACAATACAGTCTCTGTGTTAAATATATATCATGTGGCTAACATGGTAAGAGAAAATTAAGGCATGGGTTGGAAATTTATATAGAAGCACAAAAAATAAGTAGGATTTCATATTCTCCACACTTCATTTCAGTCAGCTAATTAGAATATAAAACATAAAATCCAGGGTGCCCAAACAAAAGAGAGTAAGCCACACTTCATTTCAGTCAACTGTATATGTAAATCTTGCCTATTTTTTATATATGTCAGTGCTATAATTAAGGATTTAGATATAATTGCGATCTAGATGAGTTTGTGTTATGTATATATATAATGCAATTACATTGTGATCTAGATGAGTTTGTGTTATTTTTTATATATGTCAGTGCTATAATTACATAACACTACTTAATTATTAATTTAAGGATTTAGATGAGTTTATATATATATATATATATACATAACACTGTTTCGAAAGTAAGGATTTAGATGAGTTTCGAAACAGAGTAACAAAGTAAGGATTTAGATATAATTGTGATGTAGATGAGTATTTAAGCAGTGTTATGTATATATATAATGCAATTACATAACACTGCTTAATTATTTAAAGTAAGAATTTAAATGAGTTTGTGTTATGTATATATATAATGCAATTACTGCAGTCTACACATACCCTCATTATGCAATTACAGCAGTCTACACATACCCTCATTATATAATTGGAAGCAAATCTGTGCTTTTATGCATAAGGTCACTTATATTAATTGGGAGATTCTATAAGGGGCCAATATTTTGTCAAATTTAATTATCTTCATTATGAAATTCAAAACATCCTTTTAATCAACTGTCTTATAAAAATTATATAAATGAGAGAACTCATTAAAAGATCCAAGTAATAAATGAGAGAACACATTAAAAGATATTGGTAAATGTTGATAATTTAGATAACTGGATGCACAGAGGTACTTTATGAAATTACAAAGTTAGAGATAGAAAATTAAACACTGGCATACATGTCCAAAAAAATCCAAGTCATAGATCCAAGTAATATAAATTGATTCATTGAACCTATAAATCGAATTGCAGGTAATCGAAGAAAATAGTGTTGTTGATGAGTTGGCTAATTGTGGTTGGAAGTCGAAATTGGGCATGTCATTTGACTCCGAATAAGCTGCATATGATTTTTACAATACCTATGGCGGAAATGTGGGCTTTAGTATTAGGAAGCTATATGCACACAAGAACAAACATACTAAGGAAATAACTTCACGGACTTTTGTATGTTACAAAGAGGGAACTCGGGGTATTGACAAGCGAGATCCACTAGTAAAATTTCCGAGACAAGAGGTGAGGTGTGGTTGTTGTGCTTCATTTAGTATCAAGTTAGATAGAAATTTAGGAAAATATGTTGCCATTGATTTTGTTGAACATCATAATCATGATCTTGTGCCTCAAGAGTGCATTCATATGTTGCCATCCCAAAGAAAAATATCTACCACCTAAGCAATTGAAGTATAATTGGCTTCGGAATCTGGAATTCCTCTTAGGTCTGCTTATGAGCTATTTGGTAGGGAATCTGGTGGAAGAGCATCACTTGGCTTCACCAAATTGGACCAAAAAAATTACTTGAGATCGAAGAGACAAAAAGATTTAGACTATGGAGAAACGGGTAGTGTGTTGCAATACTTTCGTAAGAAAACTTTAGAAAATCCATCATTTTATTATGCAGTCCAATTAGATTGTGAAGAGCAAATAAGTAACATATTTTGAGCCAATGCATAAATGATAATGGACTATGCTCAATTTGGTGATGTAGTGACCTTTGACACTACTTACAAATTAAATAACGAACATAGACCTTTTGGAACCTTTGTTGGATTTAATCCTCATCGAGAAACAGTTACATTCGGTGCAGTGTTGATGTATGATGAGACTGCCGAATCATTCACATGGTTGTTTCAGATTTTTTTGGAGGCAATGTCAAACAAAGCTCCAAAAACTATTTTCACAAATCAAGATGTTGCGATGGCTAAGGCCATCCAATTGTCATGCCTAATACAAACCACCGACTTTGTACATGGCATTTGATGCAAAATGCTGTGAAGCATGTGAGTTTCCTCTTTCAAGATGTTAGGGTAAAGGGTGTGTTTTCAAAATTTATGCATCAAATTGATGATGAAAAAGAATTCAAAATACAATGGGACCAAATGCTTGATAGGTATGATGCACACAACAATCATTGGTTGGCGCAAACTTTTGGTGTGAAGGAGAAATGAAGATGGCCATATATTATGAATTCTTGGGCAGCTGTAATGAGTACTACTCAACTAAGTGAATCATTCAATGCATTTTTGAAGGATTATCTCAATTGTTATCATAACTTGATGGAATTTTTCAAGCATTTTCAGAGGGTGCTCTATGACAAGAGGTATAAAGAATTGGAAGCCGAGTATAATTTGTCTCAAAAATTGCCAAGGGTTTCCATTCCAACTGTGATGTTAAAGCAAATGGCAGATATTTACACCAAAACAATTTTTGAGGAATTCCAAAATAAGTACGTGCAGTCCATTGAAGCGTCCATTGTAGGCACTATTCATGATGGTAAGAGTACCATATTCATAATTCAAACGGATGTAGATGGAAAAAAAGATAAGAATGTGACAATGGATAGAGATGGTTTTTTGAGTTGTAGTTGCAAGAAGTTTGAAGTGAAGGACAGAGTGTGTCGACATTGTTTAAAGGTGCTTAGAGAGATAATCAATGCAAAAGACCTTTCTACACAATACATACTCAAACGATGGACTGAAAAAGCAAGGGCTGAAAGTGTGAAAGATAGGCGTTGGTATGATGTCAAGGCTGATGTGAAACTACATCAAAGTGACCGATATAGGTCATTGATGAATATGTTTAGAGCAATAGCAAGTAGAGCCGCCGAAAGTAAAGAAACTTATCATTTGTCACTTGCAAAAGGTGAAGAACTGAGTGTCATGGTTGACGACAAATTAAGTGTGCACACTTGTGGTCAAGTGGAGATCACTGAATTCAGAAATTCCTCAGCTAACACATGCCTACAGAGTGATGAAGCAGATTGTCCAATCCAAGCCAAGGGACTCAAGAAAAGACAAACAACTAGTAAAGGAAGAAGGAGGATCAATGGCGGGATGGAAAAATCTATTGCAAAGAAGAAAATAATGCAATTTAAGCAGGTAATTAATTTTGTTATATGTGATTGTTATGTGTTATCAATTTTGTGTTATGTGTGTTTGGAAAATAATGAATTAAATAAATTGGTTGTTTGCAGGGTGATGGTTTTTGTACTCCTGAAGGTCAATCTAAGACTCCTGTCGCCATGGGTAATATTTCTAGTCAGGTAATATTTACTATTGTGTGTAACCTTGTATTAATCTTGTTGGATTGGTTATTCTTGCAACTAGTAGCGTGATATTTATAATTTTTGGTCTTTTGTGATGCATGTAGGGTGGTTCTTTTTTTACTTCTCAAGGTCAATCTCAACCTTCTTCCGCCGTGGGTAATCATTCAATACAGGTAATATTTAATTTTGTATGCAACCTTTGACATGCATAGACCTTAGGGAAATTGAACCTCATACGAAACCAACATATCTTGAATTGGTTCTTTTTTTTCACATTGTCTTATTCTTTTCTTTATGTTGGTTTACTTTAGGGTGTTTACACTCCACAAGGTCAATCTCGACCTCATTTTTCCATGGGTAGTAATTATGTTGAGGTAATATTTCATATTGTATGTTTTTTAAAATGAAAATGCATTATTAACTATTTTTTTCACATTGCCTTATTCTTTGCTTTATGTTGGTTTACTTTAGGGTGTTTATACTCCATAAGGTCAATCTTGACCTCCTTTTGCCATGGGTCCTAATTATGTTGAGGTAATATTTCATATTGTGTGTTTTTTAAAATGAAAATGCATTATTACTTTTTTTTCATTTCACTTGTTCTTTTCTTTATGTTGGTTTACTTTGGGGTCATGGTCGTGCAATCTATATTTCTCAATCTCAATCCCAATCCCAATCTTGACTTGAATCCCAATCTCAACCTTCCTTTTCCATGGGTCTTAATTATGTTGAGGTAATATTTCATATTGTGTGTTTTTTAAAATGAAAATGCATTATTACTTTTTTTCATTTCACTTGTTCTTTTCTTTATGTTGGTTTACTTTAGGGTCATGGTTGTGCAATCTATATTTCTCAATCTCAATCCCAATCTCGACCTGAATCCCAATCTCAACCTTCATTTGCCATGGGTCATACTAGTGTTCATCATGTCATGTATCCTACATATGATGTGAGTTGTAATTGCTTACATACTTTACATTGAAATTGTAGTATAGATTCTATAAATATTTTAATAAATGTATCACTATTGCAGGGAAATAACACGCCTGAGTCAATGCCGCCTCATTCAATGCCTTTAGTGTATCCCACTCTGACATCGTTTCAAGAGTTGCTTCGAGGTACTAGTGTAGTCCAACTGTCGCAAGCCTCACATAGTCCTGCTGACAGTCATGTGGATGGACATCCCTGGAAGGCTTGCACCGAACAATGATGTTATTATATTTGTGGATTTGGGTGTATTTTTTTATGTTTGGGAACAATTTGGATATTTTTGATGGACATATTTTTTATGCATTTTTAATGTTTGGGAACAATGTTCTTTTTCATGGAATTGTGTGTATGCATATATAAAGTTCTTATTATCCCAGTCAGACATCGTTTCAGGAGTTGCTTCGAGGCACTACAGTTCAACACTTTCCAGCCCAAATGTCACAAGCCTCACATAGTCCTGTCGACAGTCATGTACATGGACATCCTTGAACGAACGATGATGTTATTATATTTTTTATATTTGGGTGTATTTTTTTATGTTGTTCAAATTTGGGTCATTATTGATGTTATTTTTTGCGATGGGAACAATGTTTGGAAAGGATATGTTTGGGAACAATGGGAACAATGTTTGCAATGAGAACAATGATGTTATTTTTTGTGTTTTAATTATACACTGTAATGGACAGGTTACACTTTGTTTCTATTTGATTAGACCCTGTAATCAACAGATTATGCTTATTTCCTATTTTCATTACACCCTTTAATGGACAGATTATACTTAATTTTTCTTTTGATTACACCCTGTAATGGACAGGTTACACTTATTTCCTATTCTGATTACACCCTGTAATAGACAGATTACACTTATTTCCTGTTTTGATTACACACTGTAATGGACATGTTACACTTATTTCCTGTTTTGATTACACCCTGTAATAGACAGATTACACTTATTTCCTGTTTTGATTACACCCTGTAATAGACAGATTACACTTATTTCCTGTTTTGATTACACCCTGTAATAGACAGATTACACTTATTTCCTGTTTTGATTACACCCTGTAATAGACAGATTACACTTATTTCCTGTTTTGATTACACCCTGTAATAGACAGATTACACTTATTTCCTGTTTTGATTACACCCTGTAATAGACAGATTACACTTATTTCCTGTTTTGATTACACCCTGTAATAGACAGATTACACTTATTTCCTGTTTTGATTACACCCTGTAATAGACAGATTACACTTATTTCCTGTTTTGATTACACCCTGTAATAGACAGATTACACTTATTTCCTGTTTTGATTACACCCTGTAATAGACAGATTACACTTATTTCCTGTTTTGATTACACCCTGTAATAGACAGATTACACTTATTTCCTGTTTTGATTACACCCTGTAATAGACAGATTACACTTATTTCCTGTTTTGATTACACTATTTTCATTACACCCTTTAATGGACAGATTATACTTAATTTTTCTTTTGATTACACCCTGTAATGGACAGGTTACACTTATTTCCTATTCTGATTACACCCTGGAATGGACAGATTACACTTATTTCCTGTTTTGATTACACCCTGTAATAGACAGATTACACTTATTTCCTGTTTTGATTACACACTGTAATGGACATGTTACACTTATTTCCTGTTTTGACTACACCCTGTAATGGACAGGTTACACTTATTTCCTGTTTTGATTACACCCTGTAATGGACAGATTACACTTATTTCCTGTTTTGATTACACCCTGTAATGGACAGATGCTGGGAGAGGTTCAACATAACCATAACCATACAAAGTGAACAACATAACCATGCAAACTGATTACATAGATTACACAGCTCTGTTGGACAAAATGAACAACATAACCAAGTGCCATCACATAACCATATAACTATACAAAATTAACAAGTCTAGTTAACTATACAAAAAAAAAGTTTACAAACATAACCACATAACCATACAAACTGCCACCACCTCTTATGGGTTGCAAAGATTACAAAACTATTACATTTTTATAACTAACACGATACCAATTACAAGCAAGATACACAACCCATAAATATGACTCAAATTTTGATTTATGTTTGTTTCCAACTTAAGCATCTTCGCCCTCATAAATTGAAGTTCTTCGCTTTGAAATCGAAGTTGTTCGTTCATAAGTCGAAGTTGTTGTTCAGTGACCGTGGACATATTTTCGATTTGCACTACTCCTTCACCTCTAGCTTGTGAATTTGTAGGCAAGCACCATCCCATAAAATCGCCACAATTTTGACAACAATAAAATAATTTGTTTCTGTTTCGTTCCATATTCGAAATTCGAATAGTTGCTTTCTCATGACATTTAGGACAATTTCTGTTGCAAAACGTCAACTGATCTGAGGTACCTCCGTTAAGACTTGAACTTGACATCTGCAAAATTATGTACACAATTCATAGGTAAAATTATATACACATTCAACTTCAATCATATCATTCCTACATACTACTATGTAAATTGGTCTATGTTACACATGATAGATTGATAAGCATGTTCATCTACTCTTGTTTCGATTATAGTTCCAACTCAAAACAAATTGCTTTATAAACAAATTGGTTTCGTTACATTCGCAACAGTTCATCATCATGCATATGATTATAACGAACATCAAACGAAACAAATTTGAAAATCACCATAACCATAAATTCTAACAATTTGAAAGCAGTACATGCTGCTTTACATGCTTATTTAAGTAAACATATGGGCATGCTTCTTCAATAAGTTCATCTACAATTCAAAGTAGAATGAAACTTAGTTCAACTATTTAGTGGCTGATATGTTCAAAGTAAACAGATATCTGCAGCAATCTAGCATTCACACATGAAGAATATTTGAAGCCAATTAACTCATCACAAAGATTTTCCCAAGCTAATTCTATTCGGAACTAGAACAATATTTGAGAATTAAATTTAAGAGAACCAAAGGGCTTAAGGATCACATTCTATCACATTCACAAAACAGATGTAAGGATCTATCATTTGGAGTTAGTCAAATGAAAATTGGAATTACGCCAAACAGATGTGTCCATTTTATCACATTCTGTTCTCACATTCTATCACATTCTCTGTGTCCATTTTATTTGGCTAATGATCATCATCTATTTTATTTGGAATTATGCCAAACTATACATTTGAATAAACTCAAATTACTATCATCTTGTAGATGAAATGAAATATACCACATTACATGGAAAGTTTCAAACTTTAACATAATATTCTCTTTTCTAGTAAGTGTTTTCCTACATTTTCTCAGGAAACAAAGAGAACAATAGAAACCAAACTATTCCAAATCTCTCTATTCAAATTAAAACATCGCATCACACAATAAGATTCACTATTAAAATTTATTTTCTAAAACTCTCAATCTTTATTCTGGGCTAATATTCATAATGAAGGATAGGCAAAGTTTTGGGGTGATTTTGCTTTGCTGAAACCACCCACAAATACCGACCAATGCTTGCCACAAAGACCACCAATTATTTTGGTTGGGTGAAATCATGTCAAAATCAGTGAAATCCTGTTATTATTATTATTGGGGGAAGACTGCAAATGAGTGTGTGTGAATTTGCTATAACAAGATGAGCAAATTGTCAAAATCAGTATTTTCAAACAGAGATTGGGTCAAATGGTTTAACAATTTAACACCATTAACAGACTTTCACAAATTATTCCAAATCTCTCCATTTGACCCAAATTTAAAACCATTAACAGACTTTCACATTCCAAATCTCTCCATTCCAATTTAAAACCATTAACAGACTTTCACAGGGATGGCTGGTCTTTACAGAAATTTACCTCGTCACCCTCTGTTCGTCTCTCGCCGACTCTGTCTGTTAGTCTCTCGCGCTCCAGTCGCCTCACCGCCGCCTGTCCTCTGTCGCATCGCCTCGCCTCCATCGCCTCTCCGTTCGTCGGCTCAGACTCTCGTCCAGATCGTCGCCTCCGTCGGTCTCTCCTCCAGATTCGTCGCCTCCGTCGATCTGTCTAGGGTTCAAAATAGGAAAAGGGAAACCAAAATAAGAAACGAAGGAGAAAGAAAAAAACAAAAAAACAAAAAAATTATACAAAACGGCGTTGTTTTGTAGTGCGGTAGGGAGAGCCGCAGGCTTGTGCGACCGAAGATCTGAACTTATAAAAAATTAAGGTGTTAGAGACCAAAATTTAGGGGCAATTATTTTTTAAAGACCAGATATTTTTATCGCGAAAAGTGTCATTATATTTTTAGTAACGAAAATTAAATATTAGTGATGAATTATTATTCTTTTGGCACCAAATTTTTTGTCTCAAAAAATAAATCATTTTGAAACCAAATTATTTTGTCCCTAAAAATCTATTTATTAGTGACATTTCCAAAATTTTGTCGCTAAAAGCTTATGTTTTACTTTTCGAGACGATATTTTAGCGATTATCCTTATGACGATGGAAATTGGTCCCTAAATATATTTTACAATAAAATTTTCACTTTTAAATACCAAAACATGTGATATCTAAAACTCTTATATATTATAGTAACACCAAATAAAATTGATATTTGACATCAAAATATAACTATTGGATGCCATATCATTTGAAGTATGGTGGAGGTACTCTAAGTGAGCCTTTTCTCAACCGACGAAAAAATAAAGTAAAATAAAAAAAATAAAAATAACACCAAGTGGGGAACTTGTACAATGTGCGTGATGCACAAGGTGTTGTCTTGTTATGTGTTTTGTCTAAAAGAAAAATTCAGATTTTGCAGCGTTTCTCCAAGAAAAAAATATTGAGAAGTGAAACTAGCAACTTAGAATTGCACTTCGTTTGGAATATTGACTATTTTAATAAGTTATTTTAATTTTTAATTATTTTAGTAAGTTAAAATTTTTATGTTTAAGAAGATGGTTAGATTTTTTTTTAGTTAGATGTAATGTTTATGAGAGAAAAAGTGAAATGATTATGAATTTGATGTGATATTTTGTCTTATTAACTATTTTAACATATTTTATTTTTTTATAAATTTAAAATTTTCAAAATATTCAATCAAATAATTTTTTTAAATTTTCTAAACTTTCTCCAAAAATATTATTTTTAAAATAATATCTCAATTAATACCTCATTTTGACTATGTTTCCCACTGTGGAAGTCACCACTGATATTAACCGACCACATTAGAGCAATTGAGATTTTATTGCTATGAATGCTAGTTCCATTATTTATTTTTTATTTTTTATTTTTTTGGTGGGCCACTTTCAAGGTCTTTTTGGATTTTTTTTTTTTTAATAACTGGGTGTTCGGACTAACTTACATGCACCTTCACTAATTACGGAAAACTAATCTTACTACACACTTACAGGGTTCTATTTACACTCGCTTGTAGAGCCCCATTTGAAATTAGAGCAAACATCCTGTATGAATTGGCCCAAAAGAACTTATTGGGGTTACTGAATATATATTGAACTTGAGATTTCAAGATAATACACCCCCGACTCTAAGTTGTGCCTACTAAATCAATCACTTAAAATTGATTGTCAAGAGACATTATTCAATAATCTCATAATATTATATATATTGATATTCATAATTAATACATAGTGTAAATTTTTAAAAATATAATAATGTGAACTCACATAACTCTTTGTCAAATGATATATGATTGTATTAATAACTTTCTCATTATGGATGATATACTTGAGGAAATTTGAAAATCCATTACAAATTTAATTGCTTATAAAGCTAAACTAAGATTGTAGAAACGAAATTGAGAGATGTTGACAGAGAAAGGTTGATTGATGGCCACTTCAATTTCTTCCATCTCCATTAGTTCTCTCTTCTTTGCTTGTCTTGTTTCCTATTTCTCCACTTCTTAGAGAAGGGCTATGCTTTGCATCATGAAAATACTCTACGAAGCCACCATCATACCCTTTAAGTTAGCTCTCTTCTATCGGTATCTGTTTGCAACTCATCTACCAATGGTTAATACACATTTCACATCTCTCTCTCTCTCTCTCTCTCTTCAATTTCTTCCATCTCCATTAGTTCTCTTTTCTTTGCTTGTCTTGTTTCCTATTTCTTCACTTCTTAGAGAAGGGCTATGCTTTGCATCATGAAAATACTCTACGAAGCCACCATCATACCCTTTAAGTTAGCTCTCTTCTATCGGTATCTGTTTGCAACTCATCTACCAATGGTTAATACACATTTCACATCTCTCTCTCTCTCTCTCTCTCTCTCTCTCTCTCTCTCTCCATATATATATATATATATATATTACAAATAGACAAATTATACATATAACATGTGTGTATGAATGCTATGGATCCTCAAAATTTCTTTTTTCTTTTGTTTCTAATGCATTTTTTTTTTTTTTTGATAACCGTTTTAGTTTTCACGCAACTCGACTAATCTCGGGGTCCTGAACCGATCGATTAGGCAAAGATGCAGTGGCCCGCAAATAGCCAGTTGGGGGTGGGATTCAAACCTAAGACCTAGAGAATAGTATACTTCTAGGTCCCTGATCCCTTACCCTCAACCAACTGGGCTATCTTTACGGGTTATTTCTAATGCATTGGTAACCACACAATCTAGTAAGAATTTTAAAACAAGAGACTTTCAATACATAATCATAGATTGAAAGTGCATTAAGAAGAGAGAAATTCAACATTAAAAATAAAAATAAAATTTACGCATGGGTAGGCTAAGTGGGGGTAATTGCCCGGCTAAACTTTTTAATTTGCCCCTTTGAGATTTTATTTTTGATCTTGAATTTTATATTGTGTGAATTTTTTAAATAAAGTCTTCGAAAGTGCTTGTTTAATATTTTGCTAAGTAGACCTTTTTTTTTAGGATTTGGCTTCCCTTCAATCCGTGATCGGATTAGAGGGTGCTGTTAGGCCCGTGAGAGACTATCACGAGTCTCGTTTTGATAATCTGAACTGTGCAATGTATAAAATTCATCGAGTATTATATTCTTATAAAAAATCACATTGATCGGATATTGATAGCTACGTGATCAAATTAGTTTTATATTAAAAAAATAGACGGTAAAAAATAAACGGTTAACAGAAACCAGACTCGATGAGATAGCTATCGATATCCAATCAAGGTGATTTTTTACAGGTATATAGTACTCGACGAGTTCTACACATTAAATGGCTCGGATTATCAAATCGAGACCCATGGTGAATTCCCACAGACCCAACAGTATCCTCAAATTCAATCACGAACTGAAAAGAAGTGAATCCTTTTTTTTATTAGTAATGAAATTGACAATCCACTTATATTATGCATAGACTCAGGGGTTGTCTGGGGTATCTTAAATAAGTGTACTTTTTGTCTTTTTAGACTAAAAAATTGAGAAAGAAAATATGGATGTTTGGGTTAACTTTTTAACTTTTATGGAAAAATGTGTAATAAAAAATTGTAAAAATTAATTTGTAGATTATAAAAATTAATTTGTAAGAGAAAATTAGGATTGAGAGTTATGTAGCCGTAATTTTTTGATGAATAGTGTTAACATTTTAACTTTTTGAGTAACTTTTTGACTTTTTAACTTTTTTGCAATATGCCAAACTTGGCCTCAATATGTATGGCATCAACATGGATCTAGGAGTAGACCCTTTTTTTTTTTTGGATCATCCTAAAGCAACCACAGGTATTTTGGAAAGATGGTTAAAAATTAATTTTTTTGATTTTTTTTAGCTTTTTGACTTTTTTATATGAGAGAAGAAGTGAGTTAAAAGTTGGGAAGTGACTTTTAACCCACTTCCCAAAATATCCCACATTCCAAAATACCCCACATTGTCACTAATGGTGTCAATTGATTACCAATAAGAAAATAATGTCTAATGGTATCAATTGATTAACAATATGAAAAATAATGTTTCCCGCTAAGGAAGTCACCACTCATACTAGCAGACTATATTGGAGCAATTGAGATTTAGAATATGTTTGGTTGAAATTATTTTTAAAATTTCAAAATTACTTTTCTTTCTACTATATATTAATCAATCATTTTTTCTCTCATACTTATTTATTCAATTACAAAAAAATATCAAATCATACTAAATTTCAAAATTTCAAAACTATTTTTAAAATATACGGTCAAATTTTTTTAAACATTTTCTAAACTCTCTCTAAAAAATTATTTTTGAAATAATATCTCAAAACACAAACCAAACAAGGCCAAAGTGACTAAAAATATCACGCTTGTATTTAAATTTTGAATTTAGGGAGGAAAAAATAATTTGATGACCTTTTTTAGTGGCTAATATGACCAATCTGAAGTAATTAAAATAATTTTATCTCATTTTATTTTCTTTCTATAGGTAAATAATTAGTTTCACTTTGTTCATGAATTTGGTGAGAGGAAGCAAAGGAAAATATAAAGACTACTACTTTTCTCTATTTGCTTACAATAGAAAGATATAGAGGTAAAGAATAAAATAGGAAATAATATCGGATAAATTTTTACTTCTAGTTCTATAAATTATTTTTCTCTCAACAATACTAGATATTTAGAAAAAAAATAAATTAAAAAGTGTTATAAATTTAAAATATATTGATCAGATTATTCTGTATGTGACTCATGCCACACCGAATTTAAATCTACGCAAGAGATTCAAATTATAGACATTTTTTTAAGTATTTTTTTTCTTACGGGTAAATAGGATTTCAATTTTTTAAATATTTTTTGATTTTCTCTTTGGTTAAAATTAAATGTTAAATTACTAGAAATTGTATGAAATTAATAATAAGAGAAGGAAATGTGAAGGATGACCAGAGAAAATATAAACTTAGAGCTTGTTTGGGAAGAATTAAAATGCCTAAATAAGTACAAAAAAATAAAATAAGTTAATTTAGTTAATAAGACAAAATGTCACATCTAAAATATAATCATTTCACTTGTACTCTCATAACCATCACATTCAAACTAAAAAAAGCCAAAAATTATTCTCAAACAGAACCAATTTAACAAAGCTAAATTAGTCAAAAAAAATGGGACTAAATTAACTTTTCCAAACGAAGGATTAAAGCATGGAAAATTTTGTCTTAGGAGTGGACTGTAGAGAATCCATTATAAATTCCGTAGCTTATTACAACACTCATAACACTAGAAGTGCTTTGAAAAAAAAACACATAATCAAGAGAGAAGTGTCATTTGTCAATGATGGCCACTCCAATAGCTTCCTCCATAACCATTAGCTTCCTCTTCTGTGCTTCTCTTTTACTTCTGCTCTGCTCCTCAAAGAATGGCTATGCTTTGGGTGGTGGAGAGAGAAAGACTATGCAAAGCAACTTTCATACATTTCAATTTAACTCCCTTTTACCAGCTTCTGTTTGCAGCCCTTCTACTAAAGGTTATCTACACCAACTCTTCCTATATATATTATTATATCATATTATATTAAAAATAATGTACTTAAAAAAAATATTGAATATATAATATTTGTCATGTTATCTCTGAAAAATTAAATTAAACATATTGAATATTACTATTTTAATCAATAAAAATCATAAATTTTCTTTTGCTTGTGAAACATGCAATGAAAGATCACATGGTCTCCTAAGTATGAGACCACAATTGACTTCTCTATCTACTTGAAAATATATATAATTCATTCTCACATACAAAATTTTTAATGCAATAGTTCTTTTGTTTCAAAAACGGTGATGTTAGAAAATTTTTAAATATTATTTTTAAATTTATCAACGTAATAAATTTAGGTCTCAAGCATTTTTATAAAACTTTACATAATTATTTTTAATGTTTTGTCCATAAGTCTCTCCTAACCAATATTTCCTACTAATCAAACTTGAACAATTCCATTATCTTTGTATAATTTATTTTTATTCAAATATTTTTATTTATAATTAATCAATTACATTAAGTTAATGAAGTTTCATAAATTTATCATACATATAATTTAATATTAGAAAAATTAATCATATAAACAAAATAAAGAATCACTTTTTAACTTAGGTTGTTCAGAAATAATTAATAATGTTTTTTTTCATTTAATAAGTCTTGAAACTTGTTAAATTTTAAACAATATGTCAAAAATAGAAGGTTACTAAACCCAATTAATACAATATTAAATAAAAATTAACAAGTTCAAAATATGAAATAACTACAAATTAATATAGAATAAATGTGTTTTTTTAGGGTTATTATAGCCTAGTGGAGTGCAGAAAAAAATATATAAATTCATGAAAAAATTTATGATTTTAATTATTAATATTTATAAAATTTCTTACTAATATAAATACTTTTTTAAAAGGAAAATTTGGCCATAAATCCCTCTTAGTTTCCTTTTCTTGTTAAAATGATAGAAAAAAGTTTAGTACTTTCAAAACTCCTTTTAATTATAAAATTTTATATGAAGGACAAAATTTGTTATTTGAATATTTTATTTGACCATTATACCCTCTCTTTTTTCTATTTCTTTTACATCTCTCTCTCTCTCTCTATCTCTCTCTCTCTCTCTTCACCAACTCGAGGGTTATTCATCATCTCCACCTTCTTCATCATCTATCAGTGTCACTCATCCTTACTGTTGGCTAGCAACCACCATTTTTACCGTTAAATAGGAATGGCAACGGGGCGGGGCGGGGCCGGGGACCACCCTCCCCGTCCCTGATCCCCGATAGTGAGAAATTCCCCGTCCCCAGCCCCGATCCCCGACGGGGACCCTATCAGCCCCCCCCCCCCCGTCCCCGATCGGGGATCGGGTTTCCCAGACCCCGAAAATCCCCGACCTGTTCGTTTTTTTTTTTAAACACAAAAACAACAATCTGTATATACATAAACATATATATATATATATATTTCAATCAGCAACTTAAAAATATATATATATACATAAACATAAACATATATGAATCTATATATACACCCAACCCTCACTGCCAGTCTATCATCATCAACTTAAACAAAAAATTAAAAAATCTGAACCTGTATATATGAATCTATATATACATAAACATATATATATATGAATTTCAATCTGTTGCATTGAATAGATTCATACATATATATATATATATATATATATATGAATCTTTAAAAAATATATACATAAACATAAACATATGAATCTGAACCAGATCTGTCCATCTTAAAATCTGTTTCGATCGGCGGCGGGGAGCACAGATCAACATCTTCATCTTCATCATCTCCATATTCCAGATCTCCATCTTTATCATCTCCATCTTCCAGATCTGGGACGATCGGAGGTGAGGGAGCACATCTCCGTCGTATGTGTGAGAGAGAGTGGGACGATCGGCGATGAGGGAACACAGCAGCGGTGAGGGAGGAGTGTCGGTGAGAGTGAGAGTTGAGGGTGAGATCGACGGTGGCTGTGCTGTGAGAGACATAGAAGAACGAGAGGCGACTGTTGTGAGAGGGAGAGAGTTGAGAGAGAAAGAGAGAAGAAAGAGAGTGAAAGTGAGAGTGAGAGAGTGAGAGTGACGCACGGGTTTAGGGTTTGATTTATTATATATATAAGGGGTATAAAAGTAATTTAATTTTGGGGAAATTCGGGAATGGGGCCGGGGACGGGGACAGGACCGGGGCTTGAACACTGATCACCGCCCCCGACCCGAAACAGATCGGGGATTGATTTTCAAATACCGTCCCCTCCTCGTCGGGAGTATTTTTCAGGGAAAAACCGCTTAAATCGGGGTCGGGGTCGGGGTCGGGGATCCCCGTCGGTTCGGTTTCAAATTGCCATCCCTACCGTTAAATCACCACCATCTCAGATTTAATACCTACAAACTCATATTTGAGATCAATAACTTCAGATCAATGATAATTAAAAAAAAAAATTAGATTTGACAGAAAAATGAGAAATCGAGATATTGCAATGAAAAATTAAGAGTTTTTTTTTTTGTTTGTTCATAGATCTAAAACTAAAATTTGACTATAGTTCGTTCATTTAATATGTACTCTGTTTTCGTAACAGTAAAAATTTACTCTAGTTAACAACATACTGATCTGTTTAGTGACAATAAAATTGTACTTTGAATCAGAGTAATTTACTCTGATTCAAAGTAAAATTTTACTCTTTTTTAAAAAAAAAAAAATTACAGAGTAAAATTTTACTCTGAAACAAGTTGTGATGATAGCTTTACATGACAGTTTTGTGTCATGAACCAGAGTAAAATTTTACTATTGAAAGAATAGATTATCATGAGAAGAAGAAAGAGAGATAGAGAGACAGGGTTTGAAAATAGAGGATCAAAAGAAGAATAAGAAGAAGAAAGAGAGAGAGCATAAATGGTGAGTGACATACACACACACAGAGAACACAAACCATCAAAACCAGAGAGAGAGAGAGAGAGAGAGAGAAAAAAATGTGAAGGATCTTAGATTTGAGGTTCGCGAACCATCGCAAATCGTCATTTTCCAGTGACGACAATGGTGAATGATCTCAGATCTGATGTTGTGGATGCAACAAATGATGGTGGTGATGAAGATGGCAGAGAAAGAGTTCCATAGTGAGCGGCAGTGGTGCCGATGGAGAGCAATGATGCAACCGATGAAGAGAAGAGTCATAAGTGCGAGATAGAAAACAAAGATTGAGATGAGAGAGAGTGATTACAAGTTAATAGACACACACACACACACACACACACACACACATATATATATATATAAGGGTATTATAGTAAAAAAAATAAGATTTAAAATATTAGGAAATTTTGAAAAGATCTAATTCTTATCCTTTTGAAGACAAGTTAGATACTTAGGGATCTTTCACCAAATCTCCACTTTTTAAAACCTAACTGATGTGATATTTTTTCTATGTTTTACTCATTATTTCTACTATCACTACAAGAAATAACAATTTTGCCGACCAAAATATTAGTCGCCAAAGGTTGCATTTTTAGTCGTTGATACCATTTAATGACTAAATTTTTTTGTCGCCAAGTTAGTCGCCTAAACCCTGTCGGCGAATGTTTTAGCGACTGAACGCGTGTTTGGTCGCTTGTTTAGTCGCTGAAAGTGCAACATTTGGCTACGATTTTTTTTAGTCGGCAATGTTACCTTCTAGATATTAAATTTTATTTGGTCGGCAAAATTAAATGTTTGGCTACTAAATTATTGGTCGCTACTAGTCAATTTTATTTTTTTAAATTATACATTTACCGACCAATACTCAAGGAATCGGCGGCCAAACCTTTTAGTCGCCAAAAGCTCATTTGTGAAAAAAAAAAATTACACTTACTAGCTTCTCATCTGCTCTTGTGGAGATTCAAACCATCAACCTCCAACACCCTAAACCTTATACAACACACTTTTTCCACTACGCCTCCATAACACCATATAATTATATATGCAACATATATTATTTATATAGTACATACACCCGTATTAATATAAAAGTATATATATATATATATATATATAATTATTTTTTATTGAACATAATTTATGTAAAAATAAATTATTTACTAGAAAAAAAGAGGCCACTTTTGGCGACTAAACTTTTTTTTAGTCGCCAGTTCTATACTTTTGGCTACTAATTTTTTTAGTCGTCAAAAAATTTAATTCCCACGCTAAAATTACAACTTTTGGTGACAAAACTTATTTTTAGTCTCCAAAAAGTCTCACATTTGGCTACTAAACATCTTTTTAGTCGCCCAATGTCTCACTTTTGGCTACTAAATTATTTGTAGTCACCAAAAACCCTCACTTTTGGCTACTAAAATTTTTTTAGTCGGTAAAAGCATCACATTTGGCTACTAAACATCTTTTTAGTTGCCCAATGCCTCACTTTTGGCTACTAAATTATTTTTAGTAGCCAAAAGTCTCACTTTTGGCTACTAAAATTTTTTTAGTCGGTAAAAGCATCACTTTTAACGACCAAACATATTTTTAGTCGCCCAATGCCTCACTTTTGGCTACTAAATTATTTTTAGTAGCCAAAAGCCTTACTTTTGGCTACTAAAATATTTTTAGTCAGTAAAAGCCTTATATCTGCGACTAAACAAATTGTTAGTCGCCAAAACCTATACTTTTGGCTATTAAATTTTTTTAGTCACCAAAAAATTTTCTTTTGGCTACTAATAATTTTTCAGCGACCAACGGTGCTTTTTTAATTGCCAAAGATGCTTTTTCTTGTAGTGTATAAATCAATATGTAATTCTCTCCTTTTTTGTTATTTATTTTAAAGATAGTTATGAATACTTACTTTAATATGAGAAATGTTAGAGATGGTCAATTTAAATTCAATTTTTCGTAATCTTTTTCCTATAGTTTGAGATAAAATTATTATATATAATGATTTGGAATTTTATAAAAATGATTGTAATATATACAGAGAATTCTATTATAATCTTTAATTATGATCTATTGTAATGTTTTCGGTAATTTGGTGAAAGTATGATACTATTGGCTAGAGATTTTTTAACTAAAATAATCGATAAAAATAAAATAAATTAAAATAATTAATAAAATAAAACATCAGATAAAATAAATTTTATTTTATTTTTATTTATCAGATAAGAGGAAAGGGACGTCATCAGTGTCGTTGAAAGTAGTTCACAATTACGGTCCATGCTCTCATCATCTACGTCCAGAGAGAGCGAGTGCTCCTCCAACAGTGACTGAGATCCTGACTCGTGACCAGTCCCGAGTCAACTCAATTCAGTCTCGACTCAGGCAAAACAGTCTAGAAAAGGACTCCTCCTCCTCCAAGTCCAAGGCCACCACCACCATCCCTGCGAAGTCGGGCCTCTCAATTGGCAGTTCCAACTACATCGTCACAGTCGGACTCGGAACCCCCAAAAAACACCTATCCCTCATCTTCGACACCGGCAGCTCTTTCACCTGGATTCAGTGCCAACCATGCACCGTCTTCTGCTACAAACAAAAACAACCAATCTTCGACCCATCCCGCTCAACAACATACAAAAACATCACCTGTACCTCCCGACACTGCTCTCAGCTTTCCTCCGCCACCAGCACCACCCCTCGTTGCTCAACCAACACCTGCGTCTACGGCGTCCGGTATGGCGATAACTCCATCTCCCAAGGTTTCTTCGCATCCGAAACTCTCACTTTGACACCCTCCGATGTTTTCCCCAAATACCTCTTCGGTTGCGGCGAGAAAAACCAAGGCCTCTGGAACGGCGTCGCCGGATTGATCGGACTCGGAAGAGATCGATTGTCTATCGTCTCACAAGTATCTTCCAAATACGGGAATTACTTCTCGTACTGTCTTCCATCAACTCCCAGCTGCACCGGATACCTAACTTTTGGAACCGGAGGAAGAAGCTTCACCGGATCATCTCTGAAATTCACTCCATTGCTATCGAAATCGAAAGGTCCTTCGTTCTACTACGTCGATATAATCGGAATCAAAGTCGCTGGCAAGACATTATCGATCTCGCGATCGGTGTTCAAGAAATCCGGATCTATAATCGATTCCGGCACGGTCATCACTAGGCTTCCTCCGGCGGCGTACGATGCGTTGAAAACGGCTTTCCGGCAACACATGACGCAATATCGGATGGCTAAACCCTTTTCGATATTCGATACATGTTACCGTGTGAAAAAGAACACGACTCTGAAGATACCGAGTATAAGCTTTGTGTTCGGCGGCAACACCGAGGTTGTGATTGACTCGTCGGGGATACTTTTTGCAACTTCGTCCAAGAAGGCCTGCTTGGCATTCGCCGGAAATAGTAACTCCTCCGATATGGGTATTTTCGGAAATGCACAGCAGAAGACTTTGGATGTGGTCTATGATGTTGCAGGTGGGAAGCTAGGGTTTGGCTATAGAGGCTGTTCTTAAGCTTGCTTAAATAAATCGTACGGTGTAGGAAAAGAGTTGCATGGTATGGTATGGTATGGTGTGTATCATTTGAATCCAGCGTTGAATGGTATGGTATGTATTTATAGTCTTATTGTTTGAATGAATGGTATGTATTGGTTGAATAAATCATATCAATCCAGAGTGGTATGTATTTGTAGTCTTATTGTTTGAATGGAAGGAATGTCATATCAAGAATCATTCTGGTATTTTTATTTATTTTATTTTTTTATTTTTTAAATGTTTAGTTTGATCATATAATAATTCTTGATGTGTGGAGACTTGTTTCTCTTCTTTCCGTTCATCTATAAAGACTTTTATCCTTTCTTCTATATAAAATTTTTAGGATATTGTGATGTTATATCAAATTGATTCGATTGTTAGACAGTTTTGTTAAATACATATCTCAACAATTAAGAACTTCTCTCTCTCTAAAAATCTCCTTCCCAGACCTCATTTTGGGCCGGTCGGCCACCACCTTTGGCTGTGGCGGTCGGCTGGCCTAGCTCTATTCGGCGTTGTTTGTTAGTTATTTGTTTTCATAAACTTGATTCCCCCACTATTTTCCTACCTAGGTGTGTTTTGTGTGCTGCCGTAGTTATTATTTTCTGGTGCTTCGGGGCCGTATAGCTGCCTGGAACAAGGGTAAATATAGAGGAGGTGATTCGTGTTGGACCGGCATAGAGGACGTCCAGGATCTTCATTCGAGCGCTCTTATGCAAGAAGGAGCTTGAGGGGTGATCTTTGGTTCAGATTATGGAGATGTATTAATGCTTTGTTTGGGGGGGTGTAGTCGATCCAGATCTGTCTGGTTTTCATTTGAGCGTTCCTCTTCGGGTGAGAGTTTGAGGGATGAACTTCTTCCAAATGTATGGAGGTGTCCCAGCGGTTGGTCGGTGGTTGGATCGTGTGGGCTTTGGGAGTGTAGTAGCATAGGTGTTTAAGTTGTGTTCAGGTGGGTGGTTGGTCGGTGTGTGTTCGAAAGAATAAGTTGTGGGTCTTGGGTATTGGGTGTTGGCTATGGAGTTTTCCGGTGTGGCCTTGGGAGTGCAGCAGCATAGGCGTGGGTCTTGGCGTGGTGACTAAGTTGTGTTCAGGTGGGTGGTTGGTCGATGGTTGGTTTCGGTGTTGGCCCATGGAGCTGTTGGCTATGGAGTTCCGGTGGTGTGGCCTTGGAAGTGCAGCAGCATAGGCATGGGTCATGGCGTGGTGATTAAGTTGTGTTCAGGTGGGTGGTTGGTCGATGGTTGATTTCGGTGTTGGCCCATGGAGTTGTTGGCTATGGAGTTTTCCGGTGGTGTGGCCTCGGGAGTGCAGCAGCATAGGTGTTGTGTAGCCTTGGGAGTGCAGCAGCTTAGGTGTGGGTCTTGGCGTGGTGAATAAGTTATGTTCAGGTGGGTGGTTGGCCTTGGGAGTGCAGCAACATAGGCGTAGGTGTGTGCAGCAGCATAGGCGTGGGTGGCGTGGGTCTTGGGTAGTGTGGGCATTGGAAGTGTAGTAGGTGTATAAAATTATTGGGTTACCAGCTTAGGTGTTAGAAAAGATAATTTTAACAGTTTGGATGTTTTGGTGGGTTGATTTTGTGAGGAATCATGTATTTTATTTTCTGTTAAGTCATTCTTAACTTTTTTTTGTTTAAAAAAATCGTAAGGCCAAGGGGTTGGTTGTATGGTTGCGAGTAGCAGTAGTAGGGGTATTTTGTACTTCCCGAATCTCTCTAAATGTATTTCATCTTCCTGTACCTTTAATTTCATGTTGATTAATGAAATTTTTCTTTGCTGATCAAAAAAAAAAAATCGATTGTTTTTATCAATTTTGCAATGAATATTTTGTTCCTGATCTAAAAAAAAGAAAATCATATTACTAGAAATAAAAATTAGGTGTTCATTCAAGTTCTAAATAAAAAATTATAAAATTTAAGATAAATTATATGATATTCCTTTGATATTTTTGACAATTACGAAAATTAAACTTCCTTATAATGAAAATTTTGGGTGATTCTACTTACACCACTACTTTATCTCTTTACACCCTTCATATGAGTATTTTTTTTCTTTCCAATTTTATCCATGTGTGAAATTACCTTTAAGGACAAAACACTAAAATTAAATATATGTTGTTATCTTCTTACACCCCTTAGTCTTCAATCGCTGCTCCTCTTTTTCCTTTCTTAATTTTTCTTTTATCGTACACATTTCTTTTCAAAAAGTGGGAATCATAGTATTTTGATCATTAAAGAAAGTAATGGATGAAGAAACGGTGGTGAAGAACTATCAAAAAAGTGAAATAGTGAGTTTTTATTTATTTATTTGGTAGGTTTTTGTTTCATTTTTCTAGACTGGTGTTCGACTTTTGTTCGGTGGTTTGAAATTGAACAAAATAAAATAGTCCGGCATCACATTGCCGAATAAAAAATATAAGGCTGGTAACCAAATACCGAATAAAAGATATATTTCCAGTAATCTCAAACCGAATTTTTTTAATTTGTTCGGCTTCTCGTTACCATGTATTTTCAGTTTCATTTTTTTTTATATTTTTTATTTTTTTTTCCTGGAAGGATTATACTTATACTCATTGCAACAACGCAAGTACTGCAATATTAGTGGATTCTAGTCATAAATTCATTACATACGAGGTTTGTTAAGTTTTTTTTTTTTTTATGAATACAATTTTTCTTATTTTTAATTTGTATTGAGTTTTATTAATAATTTCACTTATAAATATATTTATTATCTTTAGATTTTTAGTAGTCATGAAGTATTAATTAAATGGGCTTTTGACATTGGGAAGAAGATTACATTTGTCATTGTTATAAAGACATTAAATGAGGGAAACAATGGCAGAAAACCAAAACTTACACTTGCTTGTAAAAGATGTGGTTACTATAGAGATAACAGGAAGATCAAGGAGGAGCGATTGAGGTTGACAGGTTCTAAAAAGTGTGGATGTCTATTTCTATTAAGAGAAGAAAAATTACCTACAAATTACCAAGACAAATTGTGATAACATGTTTGATTGATGGATGCAAACAATGACCGATTTTATGGATACTTTATGGATATTCATACACTTGATGTTTTTATGAATACTTTTATGTATGATTTTATGAATGTGTGTTTGATTTATGAATTTTTTTATGGATGCTTCAAGGAAAAAATAAATCTTTCAATGTACAACGAAGGGGACCTGGACAACTCTATTGTAATTTGGCAACATGACATTAGAGTAATTCCATTTGTATAAAAATGTAAATGTATCACTGAACATACATTTTACAAGTGGCCCAAATCAGTTTCTTGTTGTCATCTAATTGGACAGCAACATAATGCTGGGAAAAAAAATATTGTCCGGTAACATGGCACTGGAGTAATTTAAATTAATTAGCGTTGTATTACCGAACAGGCCCACCACAAATTAAAAAATTATTGTTTGGAAGAAAGTGTCTCTATAGCTGTATAATAACAAAATGTTAGAGAGATCTATTTTTTCCGACAGCATAACACCGAAATAATGTAAATTGTTTAGTACCGTGTTACCAAAATTGGTGGTGTAAAGAGATGAGATATTTAATTTAGGGTTAGTTTTGTTGGTAATATATTGGAAGTGTAATGAGAATTACATTTTTTTTTAATGGTGTAATGAGATGGAGAATGTAAAAATGTTAAATAGTGGTGTAAGTAGAAACACCCAAAACTTTTTAGGAAAAATCAATGAAAATTTTTATGAGTGGATAATATTGACTCATCTTTATTAGGTAATTACAAAACAATAGAAAACTCACTTAGCATGTTTCGCAACTCTTCATTTACAAAAACACATTACATAAATAATGCTGCAAAGTATTTTGAGACATTATTTAATAATTTTACTCAAATATGTTTTCAATGTTACAAGAAAAACAAAAATCACAATCTCGTTCTCAAGATTTTTATCATCCAAGGGTACATTTAAGTCTGCGTTTTTCCATGATTGTGGCGTTTTGAACATTTTAGTCCCATTTTAGGGTGTGTTTTTAACTTTATTCCCATTATAGGGTAAAACGGCATTAGAAAAGCCGTTTTCTAGAAAACGATTTTTGAAAAACCGTATTTTGTGATTAAAATAATAATAAATTTTGGACACAGAAAACGGCTTTACAAAAGCCGGTTTTACTTAATTTTTAATTAATACTGAATTAATTAAAAACGGTTTTGGTAAAACCGTTTTTACATTAATTTTTTTTTTAATTTATATTTTCAACATAAATATTTTTTGTTCAAAATTTTTTTTTAATAAAAACCGGTTTTAGAAAAGCCGTTTTTGGATTAATTTTTTTTAAATAAATATTTTATGACCAAAATTTTTTTTTAATAAAAAACGGTTTTAGAAAAGTCGTTTTTGAGAAAAAAAATTTTAAAAACGGTTTTACAAAAGTCATTTTTTGACCAAAAATATTTTTAATAAAAACCGGTTTTAGAAAAGCCATTTCATTATATACGAAACAGCTCCCTTTGTCACGACCCGCTCCCCGTACCCAAGGGTTAGGCATCGTGATGGCCAGTAACCGAGGTTACCTACGGCCAAATCTTTAAACAAATTAATAAACGCAAGCGGAAGAAATATTTAAATAAGGGTACTAAAATAATCATTGGAGCTTCTATTTTTATTACAAAATGTATTGACCAAGAAGGCCGATTTTTACATAACAAAAATACATCAATAAAAGGTGCTTTATGCCTATCCCACACGCTGGTTCCGACATGTCACCTGAAAGTGGTAAAAAAAACTATAAGCTCATGGCAGAGTGAGAAATATTATACTAAGAGTATAAGGCATAAAATTCACCATGGATAATTAATTAGGCCAAAAAGAACTTGATACATATAATACGAAGATCATTTGGCATATATACTTCAGATCATTTAACACGTAATACGAAAATCACTATACAGCCATAACCACAGTACATCACTAAGTGCCAAGCACTACACTGGTCAATGGATCCACGACAAACACTAGACCACAAAGTGGTCAATCACTAAGCCAATGGTTATTTAAGTCCCCCAAGGCATGGGACTCACTAAGCCAATGGTTATTTAAGTCCCCCAAGGCATGGGACTCCCGTGGTGGTACTTACAAAACATATTTTCATATAAGGTCATAGCCAAATATTCTTTAAAAGCAAAACAGACATATCCATGGGTTTCCTTTTAAGCAAATAGGGTTC